CAGGCGCAATGGCAGGTGCCTGTAATCCCTGCTACTCAGGAGGCTGAGGCAGAAGAATCACTTGAACCCGGGTGGCAGAGGTTGCAGTGAGCCAAGATCGCACCACTGCACTCCAGCCTGGGCGACAGAGTGAGATTTGTCTCAAAAAAAAAAAAAAAAAAAAACCCATATATGAATATCACTGTTTTCATAACAGCTATGTTTGAGCTCGCTTGCAGAGTCACAGCATTCAATGCATTCACCTCACAAGCAATTTAGACAGGACAAAAAAATCTATACTTTCCCTGAAAGTGGAAAAAATAGTTATTCTAGTATCAGTTAATAAAGAGAACATCTTTAATAAATGGACTATTAATGTGCTGCTCATTTTTTACAGAAATCATATGGTAGAGAGACTCTGTGAAAGTGAAGAAGGTAGTCATGGTGGAGAAGGTTTCAGCCAGATTCCAAATCTCAGTCTGAACAAGAAAACTCCTTCTGGAGGAAAGCTTTGGGAAAGCAGTGTATGTGGAAAAGTCTTGAGCCATCATTCATCCCTTAACACACACAACAGATCTTACACCAGACACAAACTGTATAAGTGTCGGGAATATGGAGAGAAGCCGTATAAATGTAAGAAATGTGGGAAACCCTTCAGTTATCTGCAGTCTTTTAAAAAGCATAAGAGAACACACAGTGCAAGGATAGTCTACACATGTAAGGCCTGTGGGAAAGCCTTCAGTTGTCAGCGTTCTTTCCAAATACATGGAAGGACTCACACTGGAGATAAACCCTATCAATGTAAAGAATGTGGAAAAGCATTCCGGTATCACCAGTCTGCTCAAAGACATGAAAAAGCTCATACTGGAGAGAAACCCTACAAATGTAAGGAATGTGGCAAACCCTTCATTTACCGCCATTCTGCTCGAGCACATGAAAGGAATCACACTGTACAGAAACACTATGAATGTAAACAATGTGGAAAAACCTACATATCTTCTGTAGGTTTTCAAGCACATGAAAGAACTCACACTGGAGAAAAACCCTATGAATGTAAAAAATGTGGAAAAGTGTTCGTATATCACAACTCTGCTCAAAGACATGAAAAGACCCACACTGGAGAGAAACCCTACAAATGTAAGGAATGTGGGAAAGCCTTCAGTTATCACTGTACTGCTCAAAAGCATGAAAGGAATCACACTGCACAGAAGCACTATGAATGTAAACTGTGTGGGAAAACTTACTTGTCTCCTTTAGGTTTTCAAGCACATGAAAGTACTCACACTGGAGATAAACCCTTTGAATGTAAAAAATGTGGAAAAACATTTAGATACTACTACTCAGCTCAGAGACATGAAAGGACTCATACTGGAGAGAAACCCTACAAATGTAGGGAATGTGGGAAAGCCTTTTATTGTTGCAGTTCTGCCCGAAGACATGAAAGGATGCACACTGCAAAGAAACAGTATGAATGTCAAAAATGTGGGAAAACATACATTACTCTTGCAGGTTTCCAGATCCATGAAAGAACCCACACCGGAGAGAAACCTTACGAATGTAAACAGTGTGGGAAAGCCTTCAGTAGTTCCAGTTATATTCATATACATGAAAGAATTCATACTGGAGAGAAACCCTATGAATGTAAAGAATGTGGAAAACCCTTCAGTTTTCTTACAGGCTTTCGAGTACACATGAGAATGCACACTGGAGAGAAACCTTATAAATGTAAGGATTGTGGCAACGCCTTCATTTGGCGTGCATCCTTACAATACCATGTGAAGAAAGTGCACACTGAATAGAAACTATAAATGTAAAATATCAAAAGTTTTGCAATTTTAACGGTTTTCAAAGTTGATATGAAAGTTCATACTGGAGAGTAGTTGCATGAATGTAAGTAATACAGGAAAGCCTGATATAACTTAATTCAGCTGTAATGCTCCAGAAAATTCATGCCATGAAAAAATTTAATAAATGTATTTATCAGTGCCACGTCCCTTTTTGATTCTAGTTTTTAATATATTTTTATTTTAAAATATTTTTTATACGTGTATATATTTGTAGAGACAGGCAACATTATCTTGCCCAGGCTGATCGCCAACTCCCCTGACCTCAATAATCCTCCCACCTCAGCCCCATAAAGTGCTGGGATTATAGGCATGAGCCACCACACTGGGCCAGTTTTTTTGTTTTTTTGTTTGTTTGTTTTTGAGATGGGTCTTGCCATGTTGCCCAGGCTGGCCTTGGACTTCTAGGCTCATGAGATCCTCCCACCTCAGCTTCCTGAGCAGCTGGGACTACAGGTGTGTGCTGCCTTGCCTGGCTTAGTGCCACATTCTTAAAGTGGATCTCTGGACTGTGGGTTCCCACTTATTTTCATAAATGAACATTGAGGTGAGATTATTCTGTCAATACTCTTTAAGAAATAGTGCAGAGGTGTAATTGGTAGTGTTTTTTCCTTAAGTCAGTTAATAACATCTTTTAATAGTTCTGTAAGTAAGGAAGAGGCCATTGAAAAATGACAGTTTTGGTACTGGGAGTTTCCTACTGGCATCCTATGGCAGGTACTGGCTTTCCCTTATCCATTATGTATATATTCGACCTTCCTCAGGAGAAAATCTTTCTTCTTTTTTATTAGGAGAGCCTCATTTTATTTCCCTTGCTAATGAATAGTGGGCCAAGGTTATACAATATACTCTTATGTAAATTATTTCCACATTTTACTCTTTCTGGCCAAGATATGGATGGTAGACTTTGAATTAAGAAGTGACATCTGTGATAGGACAACACAATCTAGGTTGGAGGTGTCCCTCTTAGATTGTGTTATGTCATTATGGGTAACGTGAACTAAGTTTTCTAGAATCTATTCCCTTTTGGATTTTATGTTGGAATTCAGCAGTAGTCTAACTGACATGAAAGCTGGAAGGCAGAACTGAAGAAGGCATTAGTCAGGTTTTGGACCCATCTACATGGAGACAGACAGGAAAATCCAAACTGCAAATGGATCTTTGATGTGAAGATTGTGGAGACATCTGTGGAACCCAACGCCTCTGAGAAAACAGAAGTAGACGGTGGTGTTTTAAAGAAACTCTTGATTGTCAGGAGAAAGTATCAGGAAAACAGGCAGGAGGCCAGTGTCCATGCAGTCCCCTTGCAGCCTTCTTAAGTTCTGCCTCCCAACTTTCATGTCGTTAGGCTATTGGTGAATTCTAACATGGAAACAAAAAGAGAAAAGATTCTAGAGAATTTAGTTAACATTACCCGTATCAACATAATCCACCAGGCAACTAATTAAAACTGTCATGGGTGAGGGTATTTTCTGTTGTTCTGACTACCCTCATCTCTAGATTATATTCAAATAAGATCTAATTTGCATAGTAAACGCCTTATTCTGTTAATACTGGTAATAACTGTGTTCCTGGTTTCTCCGTGACAGCTACAATGATACAGTCACACAGAACAACATGGGGGCTTGTTCCTCTGTTGCATTGTGCAGTAACTGCTCTGACGCAGTCTCTGAGAACAAATGTCTTAGGTCAGGCAGATTGCAAGAATTTCCAATTACAGCTGAATGTGATCGTGTGCACTCTCTGAGTTATGTTTGTACATGATAAAAACAATGCATATTTATCAAACAACTTATGCAGGTATTTCTTAGAAATATTTTATTAACTCTTTTAAAACAACTTGTATACTAACAAATATTGTATTAATATTTTCCATTACCTGAGACTATATATTAAAATATCCCATTGCAATTATGCATTTTCAGGTCAACTTCGTAATTTTGTTGGGTTATTCATTATACATTCTAAATAATGAGTCAGTATTACCATTTGCATATAAGTTCAAGTACTTTTTTTCTTTAAAAAATGTAAAAGAAAATGTAAAGGAAAAATTTTTTTAATTCCTTACATGGTCACAAGTTTTCTCATGAAACTAACTTCTCATTTATAATACCACAAGAACAAAGCATGCTTTTGTCTGTGCCATCTCGCCAAAGACCACTAGAATCACACCTGTAGTCAAAGTGGTGTGTAAAGAGTTGTAATAAGGATGAACACAAAGCATAAATGACAGGGTTATCAATGAGAGGGTGCTTAAGAGGACTTCTTACAGGATTTGTGTTTCTTTTGGGTGATTTCATTGCTATTCAACAAAGTGAGGTGTTTGTATTGGATGCTGTGAGGTGAACTCAATTGCGTCCTCGGAAATTCTAATAGATCTTATCTAGGAGGCAGAAAGAATAGAGTGGTGCTAAAGCTAATTCATAAGAAGCACAGTCATATTAGAAGAGGAGATTTCTGGTCCTTTTTAGGGTTTGGAGTCTGGAGTCTGTTTTCTTTCTAACTAGATCAGTGACATAGTTACAGAATTTCATGTTGATCCATTATGGTCACCTGGTAGCTTTGTCTGATGGAGGTTTGTGACAGTTTTCAACAGGGTGAGACTTCGCCTTGAGCTGAGTTGGGGAGCAGCTGTCATTGGGAACAGCTTTTGCTTTTCTCATTACCTAAACACTGAAGTATTTCCTGCGGTATAACGGACACTGTTATCTATAAAGTACCTCAGTTAAATTATTGACCAAAATTAAGTCTGTTGAGGCAGAAATAATTTGATAAAGGCTAATCAAAGCCAAATGTGAGGATCGGCCTGGGAAGACACCAACAAAGCTGGGTATGTTTCAAAGTCGTCACACTCTTGTAAGTTTAGGAGGCCAGGTGCCGTGGCTCATGCCTATAATTCCAGGTACTTGGCAGGACTGCTTGAGGCCAGGAATTTGGGACCAACCTGGGCAACATAGGGAGACTTCATGTCTAAAAACATAAAAAATAAATTATTAGCTGGGCATAGTGGTGCCCAGTTGTAGTGCCAGTACTCAGAAGTGTGAGTCAGGAAGATCAAGGAGTTCAACACCAACCTGGGCAACATAATCAGACCCCTCCCGTCTCAAAACACTAAAAATTAAGAAAAACAGACTGGTTTCTGCCAGGGGTAAAAACAATAAGAAAAAATAAAAAACCTTGAGTGGACATTTTTTTCAACGAAGACATACAAATGGTCTGAAAGCATATGAAAAGGGACTTAATATCACTAATCATTACAGAAATTCAAATCAAAACCACAATTACATGTCACCTCGTACATGCAAGGATGGGTACTATCGAAAGATTAGTGTTAGGGTATAGAGAAAAAGGAAGCTTTGTGTACTGTTGGTGGAAATGTACATTTGTACAGCCATTGTGATGTGGAGGTTCCTCAAAAAAAAAAAAAACCATGTGATCCAACAGTCTCACCCCTGGGTATATGCATATATGCCCAAAGGCAGTGATCAGTATTTCAAAGAGATTATCTGCCACTCACATGTTCATTACAGCATTATTCACAATAGTCAAAATATGGAAACTTAGCAGCCATCAATGAATGAATAAAGAAAATGTGATGTATATTTAAACAACAGAATATTACTCAGCCATAAAAAGGAAATCCTGACATTTGTCACAACATAAATAAACGGGGTGGACACTATAAGGCAGACATAGGCAAATACTTCATGAACCCACTTAATTGTGGAATCTTAAAAACTCAAACTCAGAGGTAGAGGGAGGAACGGTGGTTACTAGAGTCCAGAAGGTAGGGAAAATGGAGAAATGTTGGTCAAAGGTTAAAAACCAAGCTGTAAGGTGAACAAGTTCTGAAGATTTAATGTACAGCATGGGTCATCAATGTGTTAATCTGACTGGTAACCATTACAGAATGTATATATACATCAAAACATAACATTGTACGTCATGAACATACAATCTTTGTGAACTATTTTAAAATAAAAAAAGGGATGTTTACTGAATCTATGCCTGTTGGATCTTTGAGTTACTGAGAAGTATTGAAGTCTTCAGTTAATTGTGAATTTGTCTGTCTCACCGTGCAGTTGTGTGTTCTTGCATGACATATTTTGACAATCTGTTAGGTGCATATATTTTAAATTATGTCATTTCTATTATTGGGTCTTAATTTCTTTTCTTCTTGAAATATCTGGTTATTCAATCCAGTGTATATTTTATACCAGGCATTGTTGTTTTCCTTTCTAGTAGCTCAAATTGTGTCTTTAGTTTTTAATTTTGTTTTCAGACAGGGTCTCTCCCTGTCACCCAGGCTGGAGTTCAGTGGTGTTATCTTGGGTCACTGAAACTGCTGCCTCCCAAGCAAATGATCCTCCCACCTCAGCCTCCTGACTAGCTGGGACCACAAGTGCACACTACCATGCTCAGGTAATGTTTTAAACCTTTTTTTTTTTTTTTTGAGAGACAAAGTCTTACTATATTGCCCAGGCTGGTTCCCTGGGCTCAAGGGATCTTTCTGCCTTGGCCTCTAAAAGTGCTGGGATTACAGGTATAAGCCATGGTGCCTGGCCAGTTTTTAATTTTTTTTAAGGTCCAATATAGTAATATACAATTTACCATTTTAAGTATGCCATTCAGTAGCATTAAATATATTAACAGTGCTTTAGAACCATCATAGCTAGCTAGCTCCAGAATTTTTTCATTATTCCAAAAAAATTGGTACCCATTAAACAACCATTCCCCATTCCTCCCATCCCCATCCCTTGGTAATCTCTGTTTTCCTTTCTTGCTCTATGAATTCGCTGATTCTAGGTGCATCATGTAAGTAGAAGCATACAGTATTTGTCGTTATGTGTACGGCTTATTTCACTTAGCATAATGTTTTCAAGGTTCATCCATACGTTAGCATGTACCAGTAATTCATTGTTTTTGTGCCTGAATATTCCCAAGTGTGGTATATTGGATACACCACACTTTATCTATCCATATGTTGAGCACTTGGGTTGTTTCTACAAAACTGTTTTGACTACTGTGAATAATACTGCTCTAAAATTGGTGTATATGTGTCTGAATCCCTGCTTTCCATGGTTGATTGATTGATTGAAACAGTGTCTTGCTCTGTTGCCCAGGCCAGAGTGCAGTGATGTGATCTTGGCTCACTGCAACCTCCACCTCCTGGGTTCAAGCGATTCTCCTGTCTCAGCCTCCCAAGTGGCTGAGATTACAGGTGTCCGCCACCACACCCAGCTAATTTTTGTATTTTTAGTAGAGACAGGGTTTCACCTTGTTGGCCAGGCTGGTCTCAAACTCCTGACCTCAGGTGATCCACCCACCTTGGCCTCCCAGAGTACTGGGATTACAAGCGTGAGGCACTGTGCCTGGCCTCCATTATTGTAGATACATACCTAGGAGTGGAACTGCTGAGGCACAGGGTTTTCTGTGTTTATAGCCATACTGTTTTTCCCAGTAGCTGTGTTTTACATTCTCCCCAGCAATACACAAGGACTGCAATTTCTTGCATGCTCACCACCCTGGTTATATTCGACTTTCTGTTTTAAACGGCAGCCATTCCAACAGTTGTGAACTATCTCACTGGTGTTTTGATTTACATTTCCCTAATCACCAGTGATAATGAGCATTATTCCATGTGATTGTTGGCCATTTATATATCTTCTTTGTACAAATGTTTTCAAGTCCCTCACTCATTTTTGAATTGGGTCATTGGTTTGTTGAGTTGTAGGAATTCCTTATGTATTTGGGGTATTAATCTCTTCCAAGATATGTGATTTGCAAAAACGTTCTCTCATTCTGTATAGTCTTTTCATTGTCTTGAGAGTGTTCTTTGGTGCACAAGCTTTACATTTTGATGTAGTCCAGTTTATTTTTTGTTTGCCTGTGCTTTAGATTTCATATCCAAGAAATGATTGTTAAATCCAATGTCATGAAAATTTCCCCTATATTTTCTTCTAAGTCTTCTATGGTTTTAGCTTTTAAGTTTAGATCTTTGACTCAAAGTTAATTTTTGTATGTAAGGTAAGGGTCCAACTTTATTCTTTTGAATGTAGATATCCAGTTTTCCCAACAACATATGTTGAAAGACTGTCCTTTCTCCATTGAATGATCATGGCACTGTTGTCAAAAACTCATCTGACCACATATGCAAGCATTTTCTTTCTAGACTCTCTGTTCTGCTCCACTGGGCTGTATGTCTGTCCCTGTGCAGTACCATGTGATTTTGATTATGGTAGTTTTATAGCCAGTTTGAAATCAGAAAGTGTGAGTCTTTGAACTTTTTTCTTGAAGATTGTTTTGGTATTAGAAGATTCCAAATGAACTTTAGGGTTGATTTTTTTCTAGTTTTTTTTTTTTTTTTAAGGCCATGAGGATTTTTTTTTTTTTTTTTTTTGAGATGGAGTCTCACTCTGTCTCCCAGGCTGGAGTGTAGTGGCGCAATATCAGTGTGCTGCACCCTCAATCTCCTGGGTTCAAGTAATTCTCCTGCCTCAGCCTCCTGAGTAGCTGGGATTACAGGCACGAGCCACCACACCCAACTAATTTTTTGTATTTTTAGTAGAGACAGGGTTTCACCCTGTTGGCCAAGCTGGTCTTGAACTTCTGACTTCAAGTGATCTGCCTGCCTCAGCCTCCCAAAGTGCTGGGATTACAGGTGTGAGCCATGGTGCTCAGCCTAAAAAAGAAGGCCATAAGGATTTTGATAGGGGTTGCATTGTATCTGTAGATTAATTTGGGTAGTAGTACTATCATCCTAACAATAGGAAGTCTTATAATCCATGAACATGGGATTACTTGCCATTTGTCTGTTTTTTCATTTGTTTCAGCCATCTTTTGTAGTGGTCAGTGTACAAGATACAGGCCTCTTGGCTGAATTTTTACTGTTTTCGATGCTTTTGTAAATGAAATTGTTTCATTAATTTTCTTTCAGACCGTTTGTTATTAGTATATAAAAACGCAACTTGGGGCTGGGCACGGTAGCCCATGCCTGCAATCCCAGCACTTTGGGAAGCAAAGGCCGGTGGAGCACAAGGTCAGGAGTTCAAGACCAGCTTGGCCAACATAGTGAAACCCCATGTCTCCTAAAAATACAAAACTTAGCTGGGTGTGGTGGCACGCACCAGTAGTCCCAGCTGCTTGGGAGGCTGAGGCAGGAGAATCACTTGAACAGGGAGGCGGAGGTTGCAGTGAGCAACACCATGCCATTGCACTCCAGCCTGGATGAGTTAGACTCCATCTCAAAAAAAAAAAAAAAAAAAAAAAAAAAATGCAACTTGGGCTGGGCTTGCTTGGTGGCTCACACCTATAAGCCCAGCATTTTGGGAGGTTGAGGGAGGAGGATCACTTGAGGCCAGGTCTTTGAGACCAGCCTGGGCAACATAGTGAGACCCCATCTCGTTTTAAAAAAAAAAAAAACAAAGGCCAGGTACAGTGGCTCACACCTGTAATCCTAGCACTTTGGGAGGCCAAGGCAGGCAGATTATCTGAGGTAAGGAGTTCGACACCAACCTGGTCAACATGGTGAATCCCCGTCTCTACTAAAAATACAAAAATTAGCTGGGCATGGTGGTGTGCACCTGTAGTCACAGCTGCTTGGGGAGGCTGAGGCAGGAGAACTGCTGGAACCTGGGAGGCAGAGGCTGCAGTGAGCCGAGATCACACCACTGCACTCCAGCCTGGGCAATAGAGCTAAACTCCCTCAAAAAGTCTGTGAAGTTCAGGTTTGGAGAAAGACTTGTTTGGGTTGTCTTCTGGAGAATGGGTTTATGATTTTGACAGTTTATTTAGATCAGAACCTTAAGCTGATTCCAGGTGAGAGTTTCTTGCTGGTGAAAATTAAGGTGCTGAGGGAGGGAGCATTTCCACACTCAGGGAGGGAAGGGAACTCACAGGTTGATCCCCTCTGGGGCTACATTATAGCAGTCAGAACCTGGCTCTTAAAGTTGGGAATGTGACTCATTTTCTGAATGCGGCTTTTCCTTGTGAAGGAGGATGCTTATCTGAGCTAGTTCAAATGTTTGCTGTTCTTCCCTTTCCATTGAGACGAAGTCTCTGCTGCCCAGGCTGGAGTGCAGTGTGGCACGATCTTGGCTCACTGAAACCCCTGCCTCCCGAGTTCGAGTGATTATCCTGCCTTGACCTCCCGAGTAGCTGGGATTACACGCACGTGCCACCATGCCCAGCTTTTTTTTTTGAGATGGAGTCTCTGTCCCCAGGGGTGCAGTGGCGTGATCTCGGCTCACTGCAACCTCTGCCTCCCGGGTTCAAGCAATTCTCCTGCCTCACCCTCCTGAGTAGCTGGGACTACAGGCACGTGTCACCATGCCCAGCTAATTTTTTTTGTATTTTTAGTAGAGGTAGAGTTTCACCATGTTGGCCAGGATGGTCTCGATCTCTTGACCTTGTGATCTGCCCCCCCTTGGCCTCCCAAAGTGCTGGAATTACAGGCGTGAGCTGCTGTGCCCGGCCTAGTTTTTGTATTTTTAGTAGAGAATGGGGTTTCACCATGTTGGCCAGAATGGTCTCAAACTCCTGACCTCAGGTGATTCGCCTACCTCGGCCTCCCAAAGTGCTGGGATTATAGGCGTGAGCCATCGCGCCCAGCCCCTTTTGATTTCTTTACAGAATATTGTGATAGTATAACTCTTTTCCATGCACTTAATTTTTGTTCCCTTCTTGGCCATGTTTTTCTTTTTTTCCCTGAAAATGGGTAGACTGAGATAACGTGTGAGGAAGCCTTGGCCATGCCACCAGCCGCTTTTCCCAAATTCGTGATCCCTGGAAGATATCTGGGCCCTCCCTCCTGTTCCAGCCCAGTAGCTTCCAGCAAAGGTACTGCTCCATTGGACACGGAGTATGGAATTGCCTGCTCATACTTGTCCAGGAGGAAGAAACAGAAAGGGCCCAGTGAGTACAGGAAGATGTCAGTGCCCACTGTGGAAAGCCCGGAGCAAGTTTTTGTTAAATGCACATGTCCCCAGTGTGGGGTCACGTCCAAGCTCCAGAAGGAAGCCTGGCCTCGGAGGGTGGGAGGGCTGCTGCTAGAACCTGTCAGTCCAGCTCCACACTTCCGTGCTTTCCGTGGCTTCTCCTGAAACCCGGGCCTAGGGAGTGGGCCTTGATCGCTATCCTAGGGGTGCTGGGCGGGGTTGTGTAAATCATCCAATCAGGCGCTCTGCCAGGAGGGTGGGGCCAAGCTCCGTGAGTCTAAGGGGCTCTTGTTCCCCTAACCCACTGAAATCAGCGTTCCAGAGGCTGAGGTGGCTCCACCACAGCTTCTGTCCGGTGGTGACTAGCACTGATCCCCGGAGCCAAGGGAGGACCCGGGACACCTGGGAGCCGGGAAATGGTGAGTGTGCAAGGCTGGGCGGGAGGAGGGGCTGGTTGGGACCTGCTGTGGTGGGACCCAGGCCTCT